TCAGCAATTAACAGGTTCATGGTGCTTTTGGGGGAACTGACATTTGGCAGAACTCTGCTTGCATGTTTGAAAACCCTCTTCTTCGCTAACATCGTGAGTCTCTGGGTATGCAGACATCCTGGCTACGGCATCGAGTTAATTTCTATCCTTCCTTCCTTCCTTCCCTCCTTCCTTCCTATTGCCTCCCCGCTTTCTAGCATACTTTTTGCTGAACAGCTTTGGCAGTCTAGAAAGCTTGCATATTTTCTGTGCTGCTTCAGTTAGCCTGTTACAAGATGACTGTTATGGTCAGTATACATAATATGATTGTTACAGTTGGTATTGTTTTTGTTTTGTTTTTTGTTTTGTATTATGTTTAAGTTCGGCTGAAAAAGGGCAATTATACAAATACACAAGAACTTTTTGCTTTACGGTAGGAAGGCAGGAGCTGAGGTGTGAGACTGTCGTACCTAAAAGGCTGCAGCCTATTTAATTTCGTGGTTTGTTAAATTGATGTCCCATGTTTCTTTCCTGCGAGGAGCTCAAGGAATCTTGCATAGTCTGACTGCTCCTCACCATTTATCCAGGTGACCAGTGAATGGCCCAGAGTTGCCCAGGGAGTTCCATGGCTGAGTGTGGCCTAGAACCCAGAACCCCTGTGCCCCAGTCACTGTGTCATCCTCGCTCCATTAGGACTAGACTAGCTTTCCTCAACCTGCTGCCCTTTAGATATTTGGGCCTACAACTCCCACCATCCCGAACCAGCACAGGAGCACAGGCTGCTGGAAGCCAACTGAATGCTGGGACCGATCTGTGGGACAATCCCTAGAGAAGCAGAGGCAACAACTGAAAGCCTGAGAAGCTGAAACTAGGAGTCTGGTAGGAGAGAAACCAGCCACGGGGGCTTCTGAGATTCAGAGGAGAGCAGGAGGGCAGGGAAAATTAGAGTTAGCTGGCAAGGTTGGTGAACGGAGATCCCTGCAGCAAGGCTGGGAAGCTGTACAAGCAGCATGGTACACGGACCAGGGTCCTGCTGTGCACAGCTGGTCAAGATGCACCATTTCTGGACACTGGGTGGACATGGACTGCTTGGGGCAAAGCCATGATTTGAAATGCACGCTTCCTGGTCAAAGCTGGACCTGTTTTCCTGCCTTACCCACATAAAATGCATTCCTGTCTTGCACATGAAATGGTGCCGCACACCATCGTTATGAAATCTCATGTGTCACCAGGTAACCGCTTCTCACTAATTCCCCTCAGGGTTGTTCTCTCATGCATGGCTTGAGAGGCAGAAACTGTGGCCAGCTTGAAATGCCTCTGGAAGAGGTCTCTCTTACTGAAGCTCTGCCTGACTTGTAAATTACTATAATGCTGCACTGTTCCACTGGTCTTATCATAATCCTTAAATTCATGCATTTTACACTGAGCATTTCTGTTGTATTATATGCAATTTTGATGTCAAGAGATTTTATGAGATTAAGTGTATAGGAGTAGGAGATCATTAAGAAATAAATCCAACAGATTCCTGCCTCCAACTTTAGTCAATCCCATGATTACTAGTACAGAAGTGCCTTTCCCATGTTTATAGTTTATGTAGACAGAAGGGCACTAAGACTTGGATCCAGTAAGGTATTCCAGTACAGAATGCCATTCCTTGTGTTGGCAGCCAATCCTGAGCTCTCTTGTTGAGAGAACTCCCATAATGCCCCATAATGATCATTAACATCCTTCCTTTTGTCCTGCTCATGCATATGTAATCTGGGTGCTGTTCATTTAACTGGCACGTACTTTTTATATCTGTATTCTGCACTTGCCCTCAGAAGTTTGGGCACAGTGTATACAGGTGTTTTCTGCATGCATTTCCCCACATTATGAATGCTTATCTTCTCAAATGGAATTATGGGAAGTACATCTGCAACATGTATCTTTCTGGCTTACATTTGTGGTTGAATCTAGCTGGTGTGATGAGGCTGAAATTTCCCCTCTTGTAAAAGATTTGCAATAAATATTCACTTTATATTAGATATTCACTTTAGATTTGCAAATACATATTGTCATGATTGTTTTCCCTGGCCTTTCTTCTGTCGCTCCCTTGGATTAGTCAAGGATTTTTTAATTTGAGAAGCAGAATGTAAATAATAAGAATAAGAATGATCTTACCCAATCAGGGATCACACGATGAATGGGAAGCCATCTCAAAGCAACCATTTTCCCTATGGGAAATTGAGAGAAATGTAATTAAGTGATCACTTTTATAAGGAGCATTTAAAACCACTGGGGGTTTTTAGGCATTTTAGGCATTAGGTTTTAGGCATTTCTGAAAACACTTGCAAGTTATTTTGACTCAGACCTAATGATGAGTTTCTTCATATTCTCTTGTTTGGGGCTAATTCTGTTTGAAAAAGCTGAAAAAAACCTGGCTCCCATTTAGAACTGCACTACAGAATAACGGTTATTCTATATTATCCATTTTGACTGTCGATTCAGGGTCAGGATTAAGCTAGCAAAAAAGGGGGGACCTTTAATTATGTGTCAATGCAATGGTTAAATAGATGTATGCAGTGTGATGTGGATCTAAATAAGGTGCCACAAATTCTCACCTGTCATAGGGGATCTATAAATCCTAATTAAATATATTTGCAGGTTTACATATTTTGCATATTGCTAGGTTTGCTAATCATGGGGAGGAGCAAAGAATAACTCCAAGTGCTCTCCCATCTAGTTGTACAAACACACACACACACACAACCCCCGCTCCCATATTAAATTAATTAATATGAATTTTGCGGGCCATTGCTAATAGAAGCTATTGGAAATTGACTGTCTGCCATTTTATTTATTTAAGGTATTTCTGTCCCTTCATCTCATTGTTCAAGGCAGCTAACAACACGAAGCAAACAAAGATCAAAATCAATGGATTCATTGCCTTTAAAAATGGATGAGTTAATTAGTTGCACATTTTAAACATGTGGAAAGTAGGAGTCTGAGAACCTGGAGACAATCCAAGATAAAATATTTCAGAGTTCTTTTAGAGTTTCTTTTGCAAATCCAAGCATCACACCCTGGGACAGACATAACATCACCACACAGACCCGTACTGGGGCTTTTGGATAAGTGAATATGGATAAAACTACTGGAAGATTCTTTGTTGGAGGGAGGGAGGATGGAATGGATGATCTTCTGGAGAATAACTGGTAGGACTCACTTATTATAGAAGTTTACTTGAATTTTGCAGCACTTTGACTCTTTAAATGTGTGTTGGGGTATTTAATAGGCTCTATACCCCGCCCCCGTTATCATTTGCCTTCATTTATGTCCTGGTGAGTCTGGCTATTCCATGAATTGACTGGGCGGGGCTAACCTGTGATGTGGTCCCTGATTGGCTTGCATTATACTACAAAGGCTGCCTTAACTGTGAGAAGAATGGAATCCTGCACTGGAATGGGGACTGCCCCTTCGCCTTCTTGCCCCTTCCAGCTCTGCTATTCCATGTGATTCTGTGAGTAAATATATGTGTCTTAAAAGATACGGAAACTACAGCAGATCCAGAAAAATACAGTGTCTGCGAGCAATCACCAAAAGATGCACAAAGATGAGATGTGACAATTGTTTCAGGACGTTCTGACACACTGAATTTTGGCCCGGTGTTAAGCACTACGTGTTCTCCAACATTTATTTCAGCCCGCAGGGGTAGGAAACAAACCCCAAATTAAATGTAGGGTGGTCAGAATGCGTGTGCAACAGAACATGAGATGATTCCAGTTTTAAAGTACTGTGAATTCAGTTATCTTTTGGCAAACTCTGTTGCATAAGATGGATCTGCAGATTCAGGACTGCAATGAATTTCAGGACTGCAGTGAATTTCACTGCAATGGGCTCCTAAACCAGGTGACTGGAGGTGCTGGAAAATTTTATCCATTTATTTATTTATCGAGTTATATCTGCCTGTTTCCTACAAAGGGCTCAATGCAGCATAGATCATTCTCCTCCTCCACCTTATCCCCACAACAACAACCCTGTGAGGTAGGCTGGGCTGAGAATCTGACTGGCCCAAAGTCACCCAGTTGGCTCCATGGCTGAGCGGGGATTTGAACCCAGATCATCTGAGTCCCAGTCCCGTGCTCCTAACCACTACACTATCACTGGCTCCCACAGAGACAATAGCCACGCAGAGAGAGACGGTGGTTGCGCTCACATGCAGTAATTAGCTGAATGCTCCGGCTTATTGTCTTGAGGCCCATCAATGGGCGAGAGGTTCTTTGTGATCCCCGAGAAATGGTAAACCTACTCCATGGTTTACTTACAAGTTTATTGCTCTGCAGTAATCAAGATGCTGGCTAGATTACCAAAGCTTTTAGCAGCCGTATCACTTACAACCCTCTGCATGGACTAAGCCAGCAAAGAAAGAATGAACGGGCTGCATGTTCCAAGATGCTTGGTTATCTACATGGTGGTTTAATAAGTCAGAGTTTGTGCGCTACTGTTAGATATAATCACAGCCCACGTGCCAATAGTGGAGACTTCAGAATGCTGCTTACTAATCTGCCCACTATATCAAGACATTAAGAATGATAGAATTTCCATCCCTCTGGGGGAAATTGCATTAATAGCCTATAATAAGGAAGACTGAGTTTCCTATCAGAGTTAGACATCCCACGATAACACTGTGGTGCTTGGACGTTTGGTGGAACAATTTAGAAGAACAGACCGTGCTGTTCATTGACAAATGGTACTGCACCAAGGTTGTAAATGAGGATTTTTTTGCCTTAAGCAATTACATCGATTATGGCTAAATAAGCTGAACTTTGAACTTTCACTGGGAGCTGAGATTTTTTTCCAGGATATCAATTCTGCATGTGCCCAGCATGGAAGAACCTTTGCCCTTGTACAGAGCAATGGCACGGAAATGAGTGACGGGCAATACGGAGTGATAAAGATGAATGAACTGCCACCAGTTGGCAGGGGAAGAAAGGAATGCTGAGAGATTAATGCTCATGTTTCCTTCGTTCGTTATCCTACAGGGATGAGAAGAACCAGTCCATTATTGTTAGTGGGGAGTCTGGCGCTGGCAAAACCGTTTCAGCCAAGTATGCTATGCGTTACTTTGCAACTGTTGGAGGCTCATCCAGTGAAGCTAATATTGAGGAGAAGGTCTTGGCTTCCAGTCCTATAATGGAGGTAAGAACTCACTCGTACATGGCCGGTTCTTCATGAGAGACAGAGAGAAAGGGAAATTTACGTCATGCACTTCATGTCATGTACTAAGCTTCTGCGTGGAAAGGTGAGTGCACAGAATGAGTCACCGCAGCTGGGATACAGCAACAAGGAGAGATCATCCCCAGAAGTATTTCAGGTGAAAATTGTGGACGTAAAATAATCAGGATGCATATAGTAAAATAACTGATAAAGCTCAAGTATTCCAAATAATTGGAAGTGTGACATTCAGATCAGTATTGTGCAAATGGACTGTGGGAATGGACGTGATCTATTTAGGCTTTAGCAAAACCTTCGATGAAGTGCCCCGCAACATCCTGATTACCAAACGAGCAAAAGGCAGACTTGATAGTGCAGGTGGAGCCACAGTTGGCTGCATAATCAGACTCAAAGAGTGCTCATCAATGGCACCTTCTCAAACTGGGAAGAGGTAACAAGTGGGTACCACAGGGTTCAGTCCTGGGCCCAGTGCTCTTCAATGTTTGTATTAATGATTTGGATAAAGAAATGCAAGGAAAGATAATTAAATTGTGGGTGACACAAAGATGGGTGGCATAGCAAATACACTGGAAGACAGATATAAGATCCAGGGTGACCTTGATAGGTTAGAATGCTGGGCAGAAAGCAACAGAGTGAAATGCATAGAGACATAGAAACAGAGTGAGTCAGAAGGGGCCTCCTGGGCCATCTAGTCTGACCCCTGAAAGTATCGTGCTTTCCACAATGGCCAACTGGATGCTTTGGGGAAGGCAATAAATGGGCCCCGAAGGCAAAATGCATCTCTGCTTCCTCCAGAATTGGTATTCAGTTCATTATTGCTTCCAAACCATGGCAGTTCAATAGAGCCTTAGGGCTCATAACATTGACGGCTTGTCCTCCACGAATCTGATTAATCCATGAATTTGAATAAGCCAACTAGGCTGCTGGTCCTCGTTACATCTCATGGCAGTGAACTCCTAAACTGAGTGTGCCCTGTGCCGAAGTTCCATTGTTCTGCCTTCCCGAGATCCAGTGGCCTTTTCATATGATAACACCAATTTCTGCCCTCCTCCTTTTCATTGTTAGCAGCAGTAGATCTGGAGTGTCTTTCTCAGAAAAGATTCAAGATGCTTTGCAACAGAAATGAAAACATTCAAACATGGAAAACAATTTAAAATAGATTAAGACATTGACGAAGAGATAGCATAACATGATGAAACAATGCAAGTTAGCCAAACATATGCTATCAGATGCCTGGGTGTAAAGGAAAGGTTTCACCTGGAGTCAACAAGATGACAACATCGGCCCCAGGCAGACTTTGCTGTGGAGCTATGGGGTGGTCACCACTAAAAGGCCCTCTCTTTTTGCCAGAAGCTCAAGGGTTAAGGATTTCCAGTGGTAAAAAACCCCACTTTATCAGCTCATTGCCTCTTCCCACAGAGCAAGTGCTGGTGGTAATAATTTTTGCCAAAATTCCCTCAGAAGATGGTCTCAGGTGCTGATTGTAGTCTACAGACAGAATCATATTAGGAGAGGTGTCATGTGTTCTGTGAGAGGAAAGAAACCATCGCTGTATCCAGCTTTTTCCATCTAGTGCCTGTCTTCTGCCTCCCCATGCAAAGCAAAAAGCCTAAACCTTTGTCATTTGAGATTTTCTTGTACATGAGTCATGTAGTCCCATAAGAACATGCTGGATCAGACCCAGGTCCAGCACTCCGTTCACACAGCGGCCAACCAGCTGCTCACAGGATCCCTCCAGCAGGGTGGGCACAAGACCTCCACCTGCCCAGGTCCTCAGCAACTGGTGCATGTGGGCAGGCACCTCTGGGGAAGAGGGCAGGTCATGACCAGCAAGGCTAGTAGCCATGGGTAGCCTCCCCACCACCATGAATCTGTCCAACCCCTTTTAAAGCCACCCAGTGTGGAGGCCATCTCTACTTCCCATGGCAGCGAATTCCACAGTTTGGCTACATACTGGCTGAAGAAGTGCTTCCTTTTATCTCCAGCAACAAAAGGGGATGAAATAGACATCCTCAGTTCCTGAAAGCTGAATTCAGATTGAAATTTGGCCTTTCCATGTGGTGCGTGTTGGCTGGTCCATTGGATGCTGGGGAGCTGGCTGGCCATTTGGGTTGAGGGAATAGGACATGCAGAGTGTTCAGTTTGCTGTTTTTGTTCCTTTATTTCATTTGTATACCACCCAATAGCTGAAGTATTCTGGGTAATTAAGAACAATTAATAAAAAATAAAAACCACTGATACAATAAATAAAATTCAACACAAAATTCAGAAACAGAATGAAAAACCATTTGAGGAGTTAATCACATCCAGTACTAGACAGCTGCAGACAGATGGTCCCTTGCGTGGGTTCAGATCCAATGAGAAAATAATTAACTCTCAGCATCACACTGAATATAGGAGGATAAATGAAGTAAGAGCTGTGAAACATGCTGGAAAAAAAATGGGGATGCACAGTGCTCTCCAGAGATAGCACTCATCGTAATGAAAACATTTTGGCTTCGGTCAGAATATTTTTTGGATGTTCCTTCTAGAATTCATTTTGAATTTTTCTGGAAGCGACCTCTCCCTGGAGAAGCATCTGTCATTTTTACTACTTTGGGTCCATCTTCATCAGGATTTGTGGCTGCCTTTTTACCCCAGTGCAGCACCTGGGGGAATCCCTCTGCCCCTGACGTGGGGACATCAGAGTGACATGCTGCTCTGCAAGGCATTTTGCCTTTCTCTGTTCTGAGAGAGACACGGAGTCCCACGCATGTCCCAGCAGGAAGAACCTGGGCTGGCTGCAGGAGCGTTCACTGCCTCATGCTCTCTGCTTGGGGCTGATAGGCACTGGGGTCCACTCATCCCACTGCTGGCTGAACCTGGTCCACCCTCTTGCACTTGTACTGTTCTCACTGATCTGAGACGGGGACAGCCGTGGCCGTTCCTGTGCTAGCAGGAAACGTGGAGATTCAGCATCTCCGTGTTGGAGCAACAGGTGCTCTGTGAGTGGTGCAGGTGTTGGAATCCATCCTGGAGATTTCGGGAGTGCTAATAGCTTGCTTGTGGCCACCTGCCACATTCCGGGAGTGCTAATAGCCAGTGGCCACCTGCAACTAGAGGGTCAGTTCAAGCAGCATTGTCCCTGGCCGTGTGAGCTCCTCTCTGCCAGAAGGACTTCTTCCACACCTTTTTGTCTAGCCCAGGAATTTAGGGTTTGGACTCTCCTAGTTCCATGCAAATCCTCCTTTTGGGATTGCGAGCTGGGACACAGAGCCTTCTTTTTGCTGCCCTGGTTTTTATGGCTTCATTGCTCTCCAGAGCACCTGGAACATGGCTTGCTGTCCCTCTGCGTTCCTCAGTATTTTCCCCAAGGAAATATTGATTAGCCACTGAATTTATTGCAGAGACTGTCAGCACCACATCACTCTGGGAGAATGGCCAGCGCTGCATAATTATTTAGCTGGGACTAGAGGGCTTTCCTAGTGAAGGTTGCAAATATCCACTTGATGTTTCAGGAAATGAGTGCCACATGAGTAGACATGAATGCTTCTTTAATGATGCAGTGTTAAGTTAATGTTTCTTTCACTGCTGACCTGGTTTTATTTATGCCTGTGTAAAAATATTTCCTGCTGTGAGCTGCAAAGACCAGTTTACAGAACATATGATGTGTGTGCTGTGCACTTGTTGAAAATATACTAGTGTTAGGTACAGAATTAATTGCTTACAGATACTTTTTTATGAATACAAATAAGTTTCTAGTCCTTATGGTTAAAAAAAAAAGATTTAAAATCTGGGCAAAGCATAGTGAAATCTCTAAAACCAGAGGTTCGGGGTTAAGGATTTCCAGTGGTAAAAAAAATACTTTATCAGCTCATTGCTTCTTCCCACAGAGCAAGTGCTGGTGGTAATAATTTTTCTGGCTCAATTGGTTCAGATTTTGGAGATCTGCTCTTGTGTTTGTGGTGCTACTGACATAGGTTTGCTGCCATGACTTCTCCTCTGGGTAGCATATAACACGGTCAACAGTTCCAGGTGGTGGTTTATATTCTGCTTTTAGAAATATCAGATTATTCTGCCTTTAGAATTACCAAATTTACCTGGTTTAAGGAAATCTGTTCTTAAGATCTTTTGAAGATTGGATATAAATTGGTACTACTTTCTTGCTGTATGGTTTTTTTAAGGTCCTTACTTGAATGGCAAGCTTAGGAAATCAAGCTTCCATTAGCACTGTTCCTGAAGGCTCCTTTCGAAGATGCTATTTTGTCCTCCTTTGTTTCAATTTTCCTGTGTTACCAGATTTGTTTTAAGCAAATCCTGTCCCTCCTTCTATAACCTGAGCTAGAGTAAGTTCCCCAGGGTTTCATCAAAACTACCCAGCCTCAGGCCTGCTCCCCGTCATATGTACTAGGAGCCAAAAGCACATTTAGGAGAAGAGCAGGGCGTGAAAAGAAGCAATGAGCTGGCGCCGTGCAGGGAGCTCAAGCTGCGTGGACTTTCCTGTATGCCACCCTCCCAAAATTCTCATATGCAGGTAGATTCAAGCTTCACCTAATCCTAAAAGTTAAAGTGCTGCACGAGGGGGACAGTACTCTGGGGTAGATCTTGTTCTCACTCTGGTATGAGGAGCAAAGTTAGACCCTTAGGGAAACTCGTCCAAGAAAGAGGCTTGGGCAAAAAGACTCGGCCAACCCGAAGAACCAGTCCAGCAACCCTCTTTGACCTCAGACATGTCTCCTGGGGTCCTGGACAAACCTCTGCAGGCCCAGACTCTAATCTTTTCACACACACACACACACACACACACACACACACACACACACACACCGAGCCCCAGGAGCGTCTGTCTGCAGTTCCAGCTCTGGCCCCCCAATCCTGGCTGGACCTAAGCTTTGTATTTGTGGTCACCTTGGTGCCCCGTGCTGTGGTTTGAGCTTTTGCCGTGCTACTCTTCAGCCAGAATCTGGTATGAGAAGGCGCCCCAGACATCCTGGTGCTCCAGCGTGTGCCCCGGGTGTGCAAGGGGTCTCTCTGTGTGCACTGAGAGGCTTGTTGTGAATGGAGTCCCCTTCCATTCCTTGCCACACACAACCCTTTCTTGTGTGTCTCGATGGCTGCCGTTTTGCAAGCCATGTTTCCAATAGCTCTCTTGATAGGTGCAACCCAGTAGTAAACAGGCTGCCTTGCCCGCGATGAATACAAATACATTTCTAGTTTCCAAGCTAGATCTTTTCGAAACAGCAGCAGTGGAAGAGCAGCAGTCTTCCAATTGCATTCCTTCAGAGCTTTGGATAGTTGTCTCATGATATATGATGGGGTCCTGTTAGGCCTGCTTGCCTTTTTATAATTTTGGGGCCATCTGAGTGGAGCTGTTCATCCGCCCCTGGGCTGTTTTACTTTTACACTACCCCCTGCTGTGCTTATATGCCTTAGGATGGCATTTGCCTCAGATCCATCCGCTTGCAGCAATCCATGGCTCCTCCCTCCCTGCCTATCTGTTAACACAGCCAATCGGGTCCCAGGGACTGTAATTGAGATTCCATGTTCTGATCCTTGAGAGGTAGTGCTCTAATGACAGAATGTTTCATTTAAGAGAGCATTGATGAAAGGACGAAATTAGCAAACTCAGGTACCATAAATCGGGCATGAGAAGGTAAATCCTTTGATGAGCAAATTTCACAGGGAATTTAGGTGGTCCTACTTGGAGGAGCCCTCATAGTGCATTCTGCTGCTTGCAGGAGAGCTTCAGTTAATATATTAATTAGGCTCTTCGAAAATCACTTGCCACTGTGTTTGAGAGATTCGAGAAGTGCCTTCCATGGAACCATCTGCAAACCATTTATTTATTTAAAAATTTTATATGTCGCCCCAATACTTAAAGTCTATGGATGGCTTACAAAAAACAAAACAAAACAACCGTATACAACACACAACACAGTGCATCTGATAAATGATGAAAAACAAGGATAAAACCAATTAACTGGTAAAATGTTGGGAAAATAAGGTCTTCTCCTGATGCCGAAAAGAATAAAGCAACAGTGCCAAGTGAACCTCCCTGGGGAGTGTGTTCCACTGTTGATGTCCCTGCTAGCCAGGTGACTTACAGGCCCACCAAGCCAAGTGCCAATGAGGTTCAGTCAGGCGGAGATTCATCCAGTTTTCTTCATTCAGCTGAGCAAAGCAACCGGGTGTCCGCTCCCTACACGCAGGCAGGCAGCGACACACAGGCATTCCTCCTTTTCCTCTCTTTTTCCACTGAATCTCGCCCCCGTTGTTCCCTCCCACTCAGGATCTGCCTGACCCTTTCCCCAATCCCCTTGCGGGGTCTGCATGTCCATGGCATGTCTGGCCTCGTGCAGGCGCTTATCTACGTCCAACCCCCTCACAGGTAGTGATCACTCACTACCTCTTTGTCTCCCTTTATCAACATTCTTTTGCCTTCCCTTTTCCTCTACGAAGCAGTTTTATTTATTTATTTAAAACATTTTTATGCCGCCCCCATCGCAATGAAGCATCGGGGCGGCTCACAACCGAAACAAATACATAAATACACAAATAATAACAATATAACAATAAAAAATATATTTAAAAACCCCCAGTGCATCTCGGCTAAAAATTTAAAATCCTATAAATACAAATAATTTAACAATTAAAAGAAGTTTTAAATAAAAAGGTCTTAGCCTGGCGCCGAAAAACAAATAACGAGGGTGCCAGGCAGACCTCTTTGGGGAGCGCATTCCATAAAAAGCAAATGGCTTTTGTTATGCTAATCAAGCTCCTATGCAAGTGGCTGTTTACAAAAGCAAATGGTGTTAGTTAAGCTAATCAGGCTCCTTCACAGTTGGAGTGCCGCTGCAGAAAAGGCCCTTCTCCGAGTAGCTACCCTCCTGATTTCCTTCAAAGAGGACTCCCGGAGAAGGACCTCTGCCTCGGATCTCAAGGGGCAGACTGGCACATAGGGAAGAAGGTGCTCCTTCAGGTATCCAGGACTCAAGCCATTTAGGGCCTTACAGGTCATTTCAGGCTGTTTGGCACCATTCTTCTCAGCCACAACTCTCCTAGTATTTGCCGCTAACACCATTTGACCGTGCGGCACCATGTAGTTTTGTCACAAACATACGTGAACGCAGACATACGTGAGCAAACTGTGCATCAGTGTAGCCCACCATATGTGGCAGCAGTGTGGGGAAATGAGGCTAAGGACGGTCAAGGCAGAGAAGAGGGAGAAAGACGGAAGCGTTCTGTATGTTTTAGCTATTTTAAATCCATTTTAAGGCTGCTTGATTTTATGTTATTTGCATTGAATTTTATGGTTTTGTTCTTTACAGTGTAGTAAGCTGCCCAGAGAGTGGTATAGAAATGAAATAATAATAATAATACTGCCCATTGTCCAGCTGCTGTGAAAAAGGCAAACTCCATGCTAGGCATAATTATGAACAGAATAGAAAATAGAACTGCCAAGATCTTACTCCCTTTATACAAATCTTTGTATGACCACCCTTAGACTATTGTGCTCAGTTCTGGTCTCCGTACCTGAAAAAGGATGTTATTAAGTTGGAAAAAATTGCAGAGAAGGGCAGTAAATATGTGGATGGCTTTAAAAGGGGATTGGAGCAATTCGCGCGGGAGGGGGCTACCTGTGGCTACCTGCCTTGCTGGCTATGGGCTGCCTTCTTCACCAGCGGTGGGCTGCCTGCATGCAGCAGTTGCTGAGGAGCTGGGCAGGTGGAGGGCCTGCGCCCATCCTGCTGGAGGGATCCTGTGGGCAGCTGGTTGGCCACCGTGTGTACGGAGAGCTGGCCTACATGGATCTTGGGTCTGGGCCAGCATGCTTTTAAAAAATGTCCTTATGCTTTTAATGCTAATACTAAAATACCGTTTCAAGAAGTAACTGCCCCAGGGGAACTAAATGGTACCAATCCAAACCATGCTATTGCTCACTGATGGGTGTTTGGGTTAGATATTGTTACGGTGTTAGAGTACATCAGCTGTGTGAATTTGAAGGTGAACGTTGTCAGTGGCAGACAGTTTCCTTTAGGCCTCATCTGGATGCTGAAATATTTGAGTGAAACAGTAAGCTTTATCAACGGGTAAGAAGCTCTGTCCACATGGCTATCAGCACCAGCTCAGCTGTCCAAAGCGTGTTTGATCAGATGCAATTCCACAATGATCATTGTTTACATTTAGCTCGGCACACATGCATCCTTTGGTGGCTGGTAGCTTTTGTCTTGCTGCTTCTCACAGGAATTTGGGAAAGCTATTTGACCCACAAAAAGGAGGGAAGATAAAATTTTCCTCAGATTCCCCTCATTCCCTCCTATTCATGGAGGGCAATGCTGCTAATACCCTGTTTCCCCAAAAATAAGACCTAACTGGAAAATAAGCCCTAGCATGATTTTTCAGGATGCTCGTAATATAAACCCTACCCCAAAAATAAGCCCCAGGTAAGATCATCAGCCAGACGGACGCATTTAGTACGTCTGTTGCAACACAATTCAGAGTTTGGAGAGCTATAACGATATTCCAGAAGATGATGGCATGACTGTATTTTTATAAATGTAGATTTTTGTACATGAATAAATAAAGATCGTTGTACATGAAAAAATGAGACATCATCTGAAAATAAGCCCTAGTGTGCCTTTTGGAGCAAAAATTACTATAAGACCCAGTCTTATTTTCACGGAGACATGGTAGTTACTAGTCGAGATGGCGACTTGCTGTCTCTAAGATCTGTGGGAGCTTGCCTTCGAATGCTGGCTGCTGTGGGCATGTTTCCTGGAAGCAATTTTATCTGTGGAAATTGCTTGGTATGTTGCTAGTCTAAGAACATGGCAGACTCTTTGGTATCATTTGAAGTCATTTTATCGCTACTCTGTCAAGGTTGCTTCATGCATGCCGGTGTTTAAAAAGAAGCTTGTTCATATTTTATGAACTACAACAAGAGAGAGAGGTTACTTTCATAAATTTCATATCATTGTCATTTTCTTCCTTGTAGACACAAAGTATATATCCTGTTTAGCTTAAATTATGATGGGGATGTAAATCTCATTTAAGCCCACCTTATGTCGCCATTAATTCTGTGATTGGCTCAACATGGGGACTTTTCAAAGTCATTTTGCTGTCAAGTGGATTGTTTGACTGTAGACTAGAAGATTATCTGCTCAGTCATATGGGCTAAAATCTTGGTGTAGAGTATGATTCTATGCATATTTGTGGACAAAAAAGCCCCACAGTTCCCAGTATTCCCCAGCCATACTGACTGGAGAATGATGGGAGTTGTAGGCCTCTTCGTCCTTCTTACTCATGCATAAGATTGCTCCTTTGCTCTCACTTAGCACGCCTGCAGAATTGTAGCATACGCTCAGCCCTGCGAACAGTACACTCCCAAAATTAGTCCTGTCATTACACACAGTGGGGGACTTTTCAGACTTTTAGATAAGGTTGGGGCAGGACAGAAATAAAATGTTGACCAAAAGATGGTTTGGACCAAGTGGAGCTTGCAATTCATGGAAATAGGAGCATCTTTTCATACCAGGCTGTTTTGCCCCTTTTGTTGACTCTTGCATTGGACTGCAGGTGGAGAGTCACATTTTTGGATGCTCCCATATGTAACCCTCCACCTGCACCGCCATATTTCCTGCTAATTGAAAACTGGCGTAGCAGGAAGAGAGCTAAACAGTGTTATTATACAAGATACTTAGCAGTCGCTGCCATTTCCCCTTTTCTCTCTGTTTCTTTTAATATAACTATTTTTATTTATTTATAGGCAACTGCAAGTTTATAAAATTTACTTGAGAGCTAATGCATTTTCTTGCAAAAAGGACCTTTGTTTGTAATATTTTATTCTGTTTTGTAAAGGCAATCGGCAATGCGAAAACAACCCGAAATGACAACAGCAGTCGCTTTGGGAAATACATTCAGATTGGTTTTGATAAAAGATACTGTATCATCGGTGCCAACATGAGGACATATCTGCTCGAGAAGTCAAGAGTTGTATTCCAGGTTGGTTCCTTTCTCATTCTTCCTTCGCCCTTGTTTCTGGGACTGAGTTGCATGTTGCTGTCTGATCCAGAATCTAAGCAGCATCCTAACTGGACAAAGGGCGACAGAAGTAGGTGACGAACTTAGCAAGATGTAGAAGGGCCAGAAGTGAAGACTAGTCAGGAACAAGCAGGGGTCAGATACCGGCATGGTGCAGCTGGACGCAAAGTAAAGGCAGAGTTAGGAAACAAGACACAAGACTGGAGCAGGAGCTGGATCAGGAACCTCAGAGACTTGTAATGTGGCAAAGCTCGGCAGGGCTGAGCTGCCTTTTTTAGCCCCTCCTGCTGGTTTCCACAGTAGCAATGGCTCTAATCCCTACTGGCCTGGAACCAGCCCTGCGAGTACTTGCAGCCACCAGGATAAGCCGCACAGCTCCGCAGACCGTGGCAATTGCGTTTGACGTGGTGCACCTCCCTCAAAGCAGAGTCCTGTATTGGCCCCACTCTGAGTCTCTTCATACCAGGAATTTCGCATTTCTTTGCAGCAGGACTGGGGCAACAGGAGAGTTGGCACAGGGCTACTGCAGTATCCTTGTATGAAGTACAATTTGCAGTTGTGCCCTGTACCACATGGTCTTTGTAGTTCTGTGTGATAGACTGCCCTCCAGTTGCACTGAACAATGCAATGGTTGTTTCAGCAAATCCCAAAATTTGTTGCAGTAGTAGATTTCCTGAAAAGAAAAAACTTTAATTTCTCATTGCATTTTTACTTCGTTTTATAAAACATTTCACTGTAACATGTAAATGCTACAGCAAAGGGTTTCTCTTTGCAAGGAGTCCAGTTAAACGGTACAAGAAGAGGCTTGCTCTAACTCACCAGGCTGAGTTCCGCACTTGGCGTATGCGTTTGGCTTCCTTTTGGTCTCTGTCCCTGCTCAGCTCAGTGCTAAGGATCCGCAGCAGTGTTGCACCCTCTTAGCATTTGCAAGGTCACCGCTGATTGTCACCCATTTATCACAGAGGCAGTCAATGCAGTGGCACAAAACGTGCAGCCCTCAATCTAATATCGTTTGACCCTTGGCCTAATATCAAAAGACCTCTGCAGGTAATCAGTTCAGATCTCTGGCCAAGGTGATTAATCCCTTGTGTGGTAGCCCATTGAGCAGATCAATCAAGCCCATTGAGTTAATTGCATAGCAGGTAGCCGAATCCATTCCTTTTCCTTCTTTCCTTCCGTCTGTCCTACCATCCCTCCCTCCCTCCCTTGCTCGCTCCTTTCTTCCTTGTTTTACTTTACAGTAAAGGTGTACAAGGACCAGCACAAGCTAGGAGGAGAGAATTAAACCTGTCCCACCAATTTCCTTCCTGAACTCCCCCAGTCCTGACACACACACAAGATGTAATCCTGTCCTGATTGGAACTGGAGCCATGTGCCCTATTCTAAAGTAAAGAGAAAACAAGAATAGTTTTGACTCTCAGGGAGAGAAAAGGGGATGGTTTTGTCTGCCACTGGGTCTGAACTTTCCTGTTAGCTTCACCCCACCAACTACTCCCATGAAGCTCCCGGCAGAAAACCGTCCTCACAGGAATGCCCATAAAAGCTGACATTAACAAAGGCTGGCCGCTCATCTATAAATCATTTGAATTCCTGAGATTTATTTCCAAGGCTATCAGTATTGTATTCTATTGAACTGATGCTGGCTGGTGTCCTCCTTTTCTTCTGCAAAAGTTTTACAGCGGTGGTTTCTTAGCTCAGGTTTAAAGCTTCAAGGGTTTCCCTCCAAAACTACTTGGGATCCTGGGTGCGTATAAATGCCTTTGATGCCTGACTGGGTGGATGTTCGGATGGAAAATCCTGCCTTAACATTGCCTTAACTTACCCTCCTCAAACTTCAAACTGCAGCAATGGTGTGCTTTTTAAACTGAAACTGGCTCAGAACTGGCACGCCTTACACAAGTAGCAAGGTCTTCTTAAACTAAGAGGGAACTCAGGACTCAAGTGTGGATCTTTATGTACCCAAAATAACACCAAGCATGTGCTAGGGGGAGACACCTGAAAGCTTGGGGGACGGGCAAGAGTTGGACTACAACTGAGGGCTAAGAAATAACCTCTCAGGGGATTGTGAACTCTTCAGGCAGCCCTAACGGAATCCCTGGGCATGGAACTGACCAGTGGCAGTGGTGGCAGGTGGAGGAAAGGTGGAGAAGACGTGGAATGCCACGGAGTCTCCTGAAGGAGAGACTGTCCGGTAGGCTAGGCACCTAACCAGGAGCACTCTAAACGGAGCAATTTTTTAGGGGTTCCATTCTACTATAGATCTCTGTATTTGCAGATATGCCTATATATTAGCATATGCAAATTCAATGCAGAGCACTGTCCTTTTCTGCCCCCTGTAATGGTGATGCATTTCCTCTTTTGGGGGTGGGGGAACCATAGGTAACCAACCTACCTCCCCAGTGGAGCTGAAATGTCTGCATTTTTTAAAACTGTTTATTAAGAATTCCAAAAACAAATTACATCATTCGTCGACATAGTCACCTTCCTTTGCGATGCATTTTTCCCAGCGTTGTACCAACTTTTTCATGCCATGAGCAAAAAATATATAAAATACCAAATCTAAAAGTACGGAAACTTTTTGAAGACCCCTTGTATATACATATGTAAAGTATATAACAAGGTCCCCTATCCAGACACTGACTAGATCCAGACCTGCTTAATTTTGAGCAAGGTTTCTACATCAGTGCATCTGGCATGACCTTGGTTCTGTCAGAGACACATGGCTGAGCATTGGAGCCCACACTTTGCGCACAAAGGGGCCCATGCTTAATTCCTGGCATCGTGCACCCCGGGGGAGTGGCTGCTGAGCTGCTGAACCAGTTGGCCGACGTGGCACAGGGCGGCTTTCTACATTTAGGGAAGGTTCCTCAGTGGTCCAGCGCATGGACTCCATGCAGACGGTCCTTGCCTGAATCTTCAGAATCCTTCCCAGTCAGAAGCCCTGGGGAATTGTTGCCAGTCCATTTTGGCAGCTGTGTGGTAGATGAACCAATGGTCCGAGTCACTGTAAAACAGCTTCCATGGAAGAGCTGAAGCTGCATTTCGCATCTCTTCGTATCTCCCTTAAAGTCAGCCATTACTGAATGCAGAAAGCCCTTGGTTAAAACCCCAGCTCAGCCACAGATTTGTGTGTGGTGTAGGAAGATTCCAGTGTCGCAACCTTAGTTCTGCTTTAAAATAGGAGTAACCATGTTGTCCCTTGCAGGTTTTTAAGGACAGTGGCTCGGACATTTCATTTATTAATGAAGGCCAGAACGGTGCCTCTCGCTTTTTTTCCTCTCATTTAAAAGTAATTGCACAAGGTTTACAGCTAACTTTAGCTGACATAAATAAAATAAAACTCATCCTTAGCTGGCTTCTTGGGGCGGGATGTGTGTGAAATGTGAGGGTTGAGTAGAGCTGCAGGAAGGAAAAAGAGGTCCTTTAAATTATACACTCACTGAATCCCTAATGTCTGAAACCTCTGTGTTTCTTTCCAGGCAGCAGATGAGCGAAACTATCACATATTCTATCAGCTGTGCGCCTCGGCCGATCTTCCTGAATTGAAAGAACTTTCGCTGGGTGAGTCCGCTGCCCTTATATGGTCAGTATCTTCCTGAAAGAACGGCAGTATCTATCTGTTACACTCCCTAAATTGTAGGATGCTGCACCTGAAATTCCACAAGACCATGACTGTGCCCTGGATATGGAACACAGACTGGTGCTTTGCACAGGAAAGGGCTATATAAATACTGGCAGATTTGGCCTCAGTGGCTCCCATTAAGTTCTCCGGGAGCAAAGGGAATGGGCTGAACTATGGGATGTCCACTTGAGGCATAGAAGCTGCCCCTTGCACCCAGACACTGCTGTAAGCGGTTCTGAAAGACAAACTTCCTCTCTTTGGCCAGTGCCAGCTCCAGGTTTGTGGGGACTCAGGCCAGAGGGTTTGAGGGTCAGTGGGGCCCTGTTGGGAATTGGTCCTCAGCTGGTGTCCAGGCATTTCTATCCGTGGTGCTGACCCTGTCTCTGAACCACCAGCGGGCGCTGCTGCTTTGCCACAAGTGCATCGGTGTGTACATAGCTGAAGACCTTCTTATTTTCCTAGCATTTTGGTAGTTTAACTTTTAAACTTTGCTTTTGTATTTTCCGTATGGAGTGGGCTTCCACGGGAGGTGGTTGAGGCCCCATCAGTGAGGGTGTTCAAGGATAGGCTGGACATGCACATGGTGGGCATGTTGTGAGCGGAGCCGGCTGGAGCCGGGGTCAGACTAGATGGCCCCTTCTGACTCGCTCTGTTTCTATGTTTTACTCTGTACCACTGCTATGCTTTTATTCTGAATAATGGCATTTGCTGTTACAGTTTTGTTCTTTTAAAATAATGTGGGTGTATGCGTGTCTGTGTTTAACTCTTGTTTAATTTTAACTTTTGTTAACTGCCAAGAGAGTCTCAGCTATTGAGGTACAAAAATGGAATAAACGAAACAGAGCAATGAGTTTCAAAAGACGTCGCAAAGTCCATTTTGTCTTTGGCTGTGTTCTCGAAGGGATTAATTGAGACCCAGCATTAATGTAAAAGGGCTCACTGTGGATAGAACAACACTGTTAACCTGACAGTGCCTTTTCCTTGCACCCTAATTCCTCAAATAATTAATATGCAGGAACAGGTTTTCGTGAGAAGGGAAGGCTTAACCCCTTGTGTACCAGCTGATTCAGCCCTGCAAAGCTCTTCTCAGCCCATGTTTTCCTCAAGTCAGACTTCTTGTTTTTTATTTTATCTGGGAGGGCAGGGCAGAAAACCAATTTAAAATAGCCAGGAGAGGACCTAGTAAGCTGGAATGGGTTACGCACCTGATGCCAAATATTGTTTGGAGTTATAAGTGAAACTTGCTTTCCATGTAATTCCTGGCTGCACCCTGAATTGATCAAGATGGCATCTATTAATCATTGATTCTATACTACACTACTTCTCCCATTACCTTCAGATAGTGCAGGTGCTGTTGGGGTTGGGATGGTCAGAAATGATGCAAATTGTGGTCCAGCACAACTGGAGGATGCCGTGTGAGAGAAGGCTTGTATAGTTTTGTGGAAGAAAGCCTTTTTTTTTTTATTCCATTCTCCCTCTGAGAAGCAGCTTAGGGTATCTAACTCCTTAATATGCAGCAGAGAACATCTGTAAGTTGGGTTTCCTCATCTGGGCTGTAGCCTAACATGGCGCTTCAATGGGGCATTATTCCTTCGCTCCATCTTGTACTGGGATATAAACAAATCGGGGTGTTGGAGCTGTTGGCAAAGCAGCCAGAGGTTCCTCTTGGGGACGCCTTGGCTTGACAAGGTCTCCCTTGGACCTGTTTCCTTGGTCTTCTCAGTGGTAGTGCTCATGCCTTGTGTGTAGAAAATCCACAGCATCTTCAGCAACGGCTTGGAAAGGTTCTTGCCTGGAACACTGGGCAGCCACTGTTACTCCATGTAGGCCAATGAGGTTGAGCTCCTTGCAGTCCGAGGACCAAATTTAATTTTGTAGAAGCTCTCGGGAACTGCATTCCAGTGGTGGCCAGGGACAAAATCCCCCAAAGACCAGTTATTCAAACTTTAAGCTCCCATTGCTGAAGTATTTCAGCCTTTTAGACCGGAGAAACACTGCCCAAGAGCCAGGAAATCACCACGCGATTACCAGTAGGGGAAAGTTGCTGCAATCAGGGGATTGACTCCTACCTCTCTGGGAGCCTTGGAGGGCTGGAGTATCCCACACTCCACCCTGCAGGCAAAACTAGTTGTTTGACTTGCTGTGGCTGAATAGGGCTTTTGGCAGTGTAGGTTTTGTGGGGTTCCTTTCACATTTGCTTTGAAGAACCAAGATCACAGTCCAGAAAAAAGAAACCTCTGTTTAAAAGCTGCTTGGATAGACAACAGTGCAGATCCTATTTACAATGTTGGGCACGGAGGGACCCAGCCCAGGACAGGAGGAAGGAAAAAGAGAGACCCTGCGGCAAAGAGGGAAAGCCTTTTTACTCCATTAAGGTAGCAGCTTTCAACTCCAGTGTCTGCAGGGAAAATCTTTTATGGAAAAAGCCAGGAATCAGAGAAAAGCTGAGTGGATGGGGGATTTCGTTCCTATAAGATATTTAATTGGATGGAAATGATTGTGTTTTCTCTTTGGGCTTGAAAGCTTTTGAGGAGAGAAAGCGTCTGCAGCCTCCAGCCAGGCTTGTTTCTTGGAGGGAGTGTGGGAGTGTTTGTTTCAAGGCGCACGTTCTCCTTTCCAGCAGTGATCAGACAATCTTTGGCCAAACATTCAGGGGATTTTTTAAAAAATGAAGGGAAGAGTGCATAGGAATTAAAGTTTGGCTTCATTTGTTTTTTGCCTTGTGCGTGTGAATATATCATATACAAATGAATGGAACCCAGTGAAACCTTTGGAATCTTTATGCAAATTGGTCAGAAGCAGTGAGTGCACTGGAATATTTTTCATCTGTTACAACTCTTTTATTGTTGAAGTTTTCAAATTTTCATCTTTTCTCCACGGAGCTCAGTTTGGACTGGCAGTACTGATGGTAGAGGCTTCCAGAAAGAAGCACGGTAGAGGCATGCAAAAGAAGCCAATGCAAAAAGACCAGGCAGTGGCTTCTTCTCAGTTTCTGAGGCTACTATATGTGTGCTGTTTAATGTTTTTATTCTGAGGAAAGTATACAAGGACTCCTTAAGAAACTGTACGAACATCCAGTTCTCACCTGCCTGCTATGCCTCTTTTATCCATCTGTCCATCATCCGTCATCCATCTATCTCTCTTTTACACACACCACCATACTCTGCATCTCATTTTTGGCTGCTGAACTTTGAACCAGGAGGAAGGAGGAGCTGTCCAGAGAACTAACGGAATCCTAGAATCTTACAATAGTTGAGTCGGGAAGGGGCCACTAAGGCCATTCAGTCCAACCCCCTCCTCCTGCAGGAGTCTCAGGTAAAGGATCCCTAACAAATGGTGGTCCAGCTTCCTCTTGGTGGCCTCCAGCGTGGAGAGCCCACAACCATCCTGGGCCATTGGTTCCATTGTTGTACTGTGCTAACAGTCCGGAGTTTTTCCTGAGGTTCAGCTGGAATCTGGCTTTCTGTAAGTCCAGTGTTCTGAACTCTGGGATGATCCAGAAAAGCTCCTGGCCTTCCACCCCATGGCAGCCTTCCAAGAACTGGACTTCTCCATTCCTGGAAGAGTTGCTTTTGTCGCCTTGCCCAGAAGGAGTTGTTTTAGCAAGGGGAGAAGCGGCCTCTTGATGGAAGTAACTTCTAGTTCAAATGGTGGTGGTGGTGGCGGCAGCAGAGATGTGGGCATCACCAGAGAGAGTGTATTCTTGCTACAGATTGAGTCCCTGAGTCTGCATGACAGACGCCATCCAAAGCACTTTGGCTTTGGAAAGAGAAGCTGCTCTGGCTGGTTCTGGCTGAGTCCCTGCCACCTTCTGCATTCCCAGTGTTACCTCCAACCTAAGACTGCAGCTATCAGCAGGGATTCCTCTAGGAGGTGAGGCACTGATCCCCAGCCTTGCCTCCTGGAGGTACTCCAGGAGGCTGCATGAGCCAGATGCAGAACCTTAGCAGACCAAATTTGGCCCATGGGCCAGAGGTTCCACATCATTGTACTGTACACACCGCATTTTCCCATTGGATCCCTTTGTGCCTTCAGCTGCAAGGTTTGAGAAATCAAGTGGTGCACATGTACTTGTTGACTTGCCCATAGATTTTGCCAGGCTTGGAAGTCAAAGCAGCATTCTTCACTCTCCTGGGAGTGCAGCTTGGCTTTGTCTGTCTTGGAGGGGATTCCAGTCAGCCTTTGAGTCATCTTGGTTGTTGTTAAAATCCCTCAGGAACTTTTGAAGGGAACTTTTGATTAAGGGAAAATAAAACTGAAAGTTACGAAGAAAAGGGCCATTCCTGCTGTCCCCAGCAAGAGTTCACTGGATGCCCAGTTAATCAGGCAGAATCACTGAACAAATCATGGAATAAAAGAGCTGTAAGTGTCTGCTGTATGTTATCGTCGAGTAGAAAAAATACATTTTAAGCAGGGATTATCTCTTATAAGCCAGCAGTGAAGCATCAGCTGTATTCTTTTTTCCTTTATGGCCAACTTTAGAAGGCAAATGTTTTCTTCCTCTGGTGCATGATCGTGTTAACTTTCATTTTTTCAGCCTAATTCATTTTGAAGCCTTAGGGGAAACCGCAGCCTCTGAGGAGGTGGCATTGATGTGTCACCTGAAATGACAAATCGTTGCACACTCCTCTGAGTAAAATGTTTTCAAGAAGTGTGGCAAGATGTCATTTTGTAATCCTTCAGGCAGGGCATGACTGTGCTGCTTCAAGTGACTTGCCCCAAAGAGGAGTCCTAGCACCACTTGGCCTGGAATGCCAAGAGATCGCCTGTCTGAAAGACTGGGAGCACTGAGGGCAAGTTTGTAGGACTTTATTGAGACAGTTACTTTCCCATGAATACATGGCGCAGTCACCGTGCGCGCTGCCTCGGCTGCAGTGCCAGCTGTTCGTGGGATGTTCTGGGATGTATCCCGTGAAAAGCAATTATGAGTGATTGTGTTGGCTGCCAAGAAAATCTATTAAAATGGTGCTGTGTGAAATAGGACTTAGCAGGTGACGAGTCGCTTGCTTTGTCTAACCTGCACGTTCCATTTCTTCTCTCCCAGCGCATGCCAAAGACTTCACCTACACAGCGATGGGAGGGGAGCCATCCATTGAAGGTGTGGATGATGCGGATGACTTTGAAAAAACCAGGCGTGCTTTCACCCTGCTCGGTAAGAGATGATTGGGATGGTCTCCTAGTAGAACATTTGGGTGAACCTGCTGTCCTTTGCAAAGGCTATGAAAGGGGTGGTGTGGCCATTTCATTGTGGAGAGTTAGAATCCGGGATTCTTTACCCTGATTTTCTGGGTACTTGATTTCAGGTGGCAGGTCACATGCTTTTGTGCTATGATTGCCTTGCTAACTGATGCATTATTTAATCTGGATGTTCCTCGGCCACATGAAAGCCATTCTTGGTTTATATTTCCTTTGCAAAAATTGGATATCAATCATTCCTTTCAGGAGTAAAGGAGTCCCATCAGATGATGATTTTTAAGATACTAGCAGCCATCCTGCACCTTGGGAACATGGAGCTTGAATCGGAACGTGATGGAGAGAACTGCAACATATCGGTATGTTTTCAGCAGGCCTGCTATTAAAAACCGCTTGTGCAATTGGCTTTGCTCCCGCACCTCTGTTAATAACTTAGATCTCTTTCAGTAGTGTATCTCAGCTCTCCTGTTTCCCTAAATTGCAGGAAGTTCTAGAGAATCCTTCTGCGATTTGGTGCCCTCCAGTTATATTGAACAACAATTCAGCCTTGGCTGGAAATGGTCTGGAGCACACCAAGGTGGAGAAGGTTGACCGGGGCTTTGGAATGCGCTCCCTAGAGAAGTCCGCCTGGCGCCGTCATTTTCGGCGCCAGGTCAAGACCTTTTATTTGACTAATATTTTAACATAAAGTAATTTTAATTGTATTAGATTTATTTAATTTATTTTAAATAGATTGGTTTTATGCCCATTTGTGGAATAGTTAATTTATTTTATTTAGGATTTGAAGTAATGATGTAAGCCATCCAGAGACGACTGTGATGGACGGCTTACAAATTTTCTAAATAAATAAATAAAGATTAGGATGTGAGGAGATGGCTCTGTAAATTGTCTGGTCCTGCCACCACCAGTCAATTCGGCCAGCCTGTCTCAGCCTTGGGTCCATGGATGTTGTTGGACTATATCTCCCATCAGTCCTGACTTGGCTGCTTTTGCTGTGGGTAATAGGAGTTTGGTCCAAACCTCTGGGGAACCCAAGGCTGAGAAAGGCTGAAGCAAAAGTTTCCTGGCGAACACGTCACGGGTGGGCTTTGAACTGGTTATGAGGGGAGAAGGTGTTCTGGAGACGAACTCTGGACATCAGGGGCAGATGAAGAGGATTGGCAGGGGCCTGTAAGGGGCCAGGAGGCCTTTGGACACAGTTCCAGGTCATTTCAGCGAGCCTTACATAAGAAATTGTTCTGCTGGATTGTGCTTCAAAGTTCAGATCTGTCTAATTCCCAGCATGTCAGCTTTAATGATGAACCAACATTTGCCCTCAGAGGCAGCTTCGCCTTCATGCATCGTAGGATGAAATGTGGTGGTTGAGAAAAACAACAACGTACACACACCTGAACAAAACACACGCTTACAAATTGCACAGCCCAGAATAGGAAAGTGTTTCTAAAGGTGTCACAATGCTCTTTCCCTCTTTGTGTATGTTTATTATTCTAGCAGTGTGACTACAATAATAGGAGTGCAATAGTATTATTTCTGGTTATGGACAATTGTCATGTCCCATTTCAGAGGAGCTTTCTTTTTTTAATTAAAATATAAAATTGTGCTTTGCAGTGTTGCTGATGTTACTCAAGGGGGGTGCAATGGACTATTTAATTTCAAGGCTTTGACAAACTGGGTACATAAGCAAATCTTCTCTTATGGTGTTGTGTCCCCTTAATGATATTGCTGTTATTTAATTAAAATGTAAGTGCAGCTCTGTGATGCTAGATCCGTCTGTTAACTCATTTAATTAGTGATGAGGCAACTCAGTGAAGCAAAACACGACGGTGCAGAGAAAATAAGGGCCTTGAGTGGCCCTCACTCACAACTCAACTGGATGCCATTTTGCTTGTTTGCTTTTTTCTTGGCTGTGAGCATGGTGGCCGTGTATAGGGCCTCCATGTTCAGGAGCAGTATGCAGAGCTGAAAAAGCAGGCAGCTTCCTTGAAGCATCTTAGTCTGGAAAGCAGGTTGTTCAATGGGATGAACCCGCATGTCATCACAAAGGGCTATGCTTACGTTCAAAAGCTAGATCAGTCTTCCCTAGTCTGGTGCTCTCCGGGTACTTTTGGACTTTAACTGCCATCACCCCAGCAAGCAAGCTGAGTAGCCCAGAATGCTGGGAACTGTAACCCAAAACATCTAGAGGGTGCCAGTATGGGGAAGGCTGACCTGTAAAGCAGAGGGTTGGATGTCAAATGCAGACCTCAACTGTTTCCATTTCTAGAGGACCCTCAGTTGCCTTCTATATATTTTGAAGATGCAAGCAAAGGACTTTCCAGTTTTTTAATGTTTATTTAAGAATTGTTTTTCTAATGTTTCTAACATCTAGATTTTTCTAGATGTTTATTTTTCTCCCTATAAACACCTAGGTTCTTGTTTTCCTTTATCTTGCTTTATGCTTGGCAGTCAGCTTCCCAGTCCTGAGCGTGAAAAGGTGCGTTTCACACTCAGGACTGAGAAGAACCATTTTTTTTCTAGCTTTTGCACCTTTGCTCAGCCCAGACCTGGGTCCCTCTGGAAAAAGTGTTCTTTGAACTTCTAATCACCTTTCTCAAGATGCTGCAGGGATGGGGCCCTGAGTGTGAGGTTTCAAGTGACCGGAATAACTTTCTGTCATTGCAAAGCAGCGTGAGTTCAAGCTATGCTTGCTCTGGAAATAAGCAGAAGATGAGTAGCACCATCAGCTACTTCTTCTCCTGGCTAATTAGATGTCAGATTTAATCTGGGGTTGCTTTACAAAGAGAAGGGGGCAGAAAGTGACCTTCCACTCCCCCTTTGCACCCAAACCTATGTCTAGCCCAAGCCCATTTGGATTTGGTTCAGGCATGAAACGCAGCTTACTTCCCACCCTTCCTGTTTCCCAGCAATCCCCTTCCATCTGAGCAAACGATTCTTCCTTCTGCGAGGTGGACCAGGGGTGGTGAGGAGGGGTGGTGGAGCCCCTGCTTTGCACAAGGAAGGTCCCCAGGTCAGTCCTCAGCATCTCCAAGTGGGGCTGGGAAAGATTCTGTCTCCAGCCCTGGAGAGCCTCTTTTGGACAGATGGACAAGTGACCATTCCCTACTGGCCAGTGGGCCAGCTCCTCCAACTGGTTCTGCATCTTAAAATGATGGATTTGGCCATCCTCTGAACTGTCATTTCCTCCTGGGATTTTGTCCTTTGTAGAAACTGTCATTGGGAGCTGCCTAGCCACGAATGAGCACCCCTTTTATGAAGATAAGGCTGCGTGTGTCTCTGTGAACAGCGGGGAAGGAACATACCTGTCGGGGGAGTTATTTATTTATTTAAAACATTTCTATGCTGCCCCCATCGCAACAAAGCCTCACAAGGAATACATAAAAACATACATAAGTAATAATAATATAACAATTTAAAAGAAAAAAAAACCCTGGTGCATTCTCGGCTAAAAATTTTAAAATCCTAATTAATACAATAATTTAGCAATTAAAAAAAGTTTTAAATAAAAAGTTCATAGCCTGGCGCCGAGAAACAAGTAACGATGGCGCCAGGCGGACCTCTCTGGGGAGCACATTCCATAGATGGGGCGCCACCGCAGAGAAAGCCCTCCTCCGGGTACTCGCCCTCCTAATATCATTCACAGAGGGTTCCCGGAGAAGGGCGTCCGTTGCTGATCTCAAGGGGCGGGAGCGCATATATGGGCACAAGCGTTCCTTTAGATATCCAGGTCACAAGCCATTTAGGGCTTTATAGGTCATAACCAACACCTTGAATTGGGCCTGGACTTCAATCGGGAGCCAGCGGAGCTGACGGAGAACTGGGGTTATATGAGAACAACGCCCAGTCCCTGTCAGCAACCTGGCAGCTCTTTTCTGCACCAATTGAAGTATCCGGACCGTCTTCAAGGGTAGCCCCACGTAGAGCGCGTTACAGAAACCTAATCGGGAAGTTACCAGCGCGTGTGTCACTGTCGCCAGGCAGTCATTCTCCAGGAAGGGACGCAGCTGATGTATCAGCCGAAGCTGAAGGAAGGCGCTCCTCACCACCGCCGTCACCTGAGCTTCTAGAGACAGCTCAGGGTCGAGGAGCACTCCCAAGCTGTGAACCCTGTCCCTCAGAGGGAGTGCAACCCCATTTAGGACAAGGCCCAAGTCCCCCATCCCGAGGCCCAAGCCACCCCCCAACAGGACCTCCGTCTTGTCTGGATTGAGCTTCAGTTTATTGGCCCTCATCCAGCCCATTATCTCGGCCAGGCACCAGTTCAGCACAGCCACTGCCTCACCTGGATTGGTGGAAAACGAGAGGTAGAGCTGGGTATCATCAGCGTACTGATGATTCTGCAGCCCACACCTCCTGATGACCTCTCCCAGCGGTTTCATTTAGACGTTAAATAGCAAAGGGGACAAAATGGACTCCTGTGGAACGCCATGGCATAACTGCCATGGCGCAGAGCCACAGTCCCCCAGCACCACCTTCTGGAATCAGCCGTTGAGATAGGAGCGGAACCACCGCCACGCGGTTCCTCCAAGTCCCAATCCCGCTAGCCTATTCAGAAGGATACCATGGTCAATGGTATCGAAAGCCGCTGAGAGGTCCAGGAGAACCAACAGGGACGCACTCCCCCTGTCTCTCTCCCTGCACAGGTCATCATACAGGGCGACCAAGGCCGATTCAGTGCCATACCCCGGTCTGAAGCCGGACTGAAATGGGTCCAGATAATCACTTTCATCCAAGAGTGCTTGGAGTTGTCCCGCCACCACCCGCTCTAACACCTTGCCCAAGAACGGGATGTTGGCCACCAGTCTATAATTGGTGGCCACCTCTGGATGCAGGGATGCCTTCTTTAGGACAGGCCGGACTACTGCCTCCTTTAAAGGGGCAGGTACCCGGCCATCTCTTAAAGCGGCATTGACCACCTCCAGGATCCAGGTCCCAGGTCCCAATCCCGTCCTTGGCTTTCTTAAGTAGAAAGAAATCCATTAATTGTGGACTCGATGGCATCGATGGCATCTCCCTAGTAGAATCTGATTCAATAGCAGAGTCAAGCTCGTGACGAATCTGAGCGATTTTCTCCCTGAAATGCTTGGCAAAGTCGTCACAGCGGGCCTTCGAGGGTGGCACAAGATCTTTCTTCGGGCCCGGATGTATCAGCCCCTGCACCACCCAAAAAAGCTCCGCTGGATGGCATTGTCAGGAGGCAATGGAAACGGAGAAGAATTTCTTCTTCGCCATCCTCACCACCACAGCATAGGCCCAATAATGGGCTCTTAAGTGTGTTCGGTCAGAATCACCCCGTGATCTCCTCCACCTACGCTCTAGACGTCTCCCAGCCTGCTTCATCGCCCGTAATTCAGGTGTATACCAAGGAGATGAACGGGCTCTGCCAGCTGGGAGAGGACACTTGGGAGCGATCGTGTCAATAGCCCTGGTCATCTCCTCATTCCACAGTTCAACCAGGGCATCGACAGGATCACCAGCCTTGTCAAATGGAAAATCCCCCAGAGCTTCCAGGAATCCATTAGGATCTGTCTGGCTCCAGGGGTGCACCGATACAATCGGGTCCACACCCTTGCAGAGGGAAAGGCCGCTCTCGAGCTCAAACCTTATGAGGAAGTGATCTGACCATGACAAGGGTGTCAAGCTTAAATTCCGCACCCTCAGATCACCCTCTTCCTGCCCCGTCGAGAAAACCAGGTCCAGAGTGTGTCCACGTTCATGGGTCGGGCCAATGACGTGTTGAGACAGCCCCAGGGCCGCCATGGAGGCCATGAAGTCCTGGGCTGCCCCAGTTAGAACCGTCTCGGCATGGAGATTGAAGTCCCCCAGGACCAACATCCTGGGAGTCCTCAACACCAGGTCCGAGACAATCTCCGTCAGCTCAGGCAGGGAGTCTGTTGGGCAGAAGGGTGCACAGTACACCAACAGAATCCCCAATCTGTTTTGGTCGCCCAACACCAAGTGGAGGCTCTCCAGCCCTGGCCTCGAGAGGACAGGAAGCCCCACAAGGGAAATAGAAGCCCGATAAACCAGAGTGACCCCCCCTCCCCTCCCCTCCAGGCGTGGTCGGTGCTGGATCAGGTACCCAGGCGGGCACAGTTGTGAGAGGGCGACATTCCGCCCCCCCACCCGCCCAGGTCTCTGTGATACAAGCCAGGTTGGCCCTCTCATCCATGATCAAATCATGGATGAGTGTTGCCTTATTTTGGACCGACCTGGCATTAAGCAACAGCACCGACAGGCCCGGGGGGAAGCTGACAAGTCTACCTGGAACCCGCCAGTTGGGGGAATAACCAGAAAGAAGGAATAACCAGTTATGCTGATATGGACAAGGAATGGGGCATTTATCCCGTGGAGACCTGAAAACTCACCTCATTTGCAACAGAGACATCCTTTCTGCAACAGCAGTGAGCAGAAAACAGGTTTTGTGCAATATCCTTTCAACCGGGGTCCAAGAACGGAAGTCAGTTCAGAATAGTGGAAAATGCACTAGAAATGAGCAAGGGGCCTCCAGGCTAGGCCCCATGCTGTACTGAGCCCCAGAACTGGGTTCGCAGTCATGCCCTCCCACTCAAGAATCAATTCCTGGTCCCCTGCTAAACATTCTCTATTCCAGCTGCTTTCAGTTGTTCATATTGCTAACCTATTGGATGTCAGGAGTACTGGTTGTGAGATGCCCGGAGGCTTAGCTGGTGCTCTTTACCTGTCTCTGTCTAGTGCTGCATCAGCTGCAGCATATGGAGACTCTGTGGCTGGTGACAAAAGTAGCATTTTCAAGGGTCCTGATGAGCCATATAAGTAGTGCAACATCTTATGCAAACAATTTAAGGTGCTGGTGATGTCCTATAAAGCCCTAAACAGCTTGGGTCCTGGATACCTGAAGGACCGTCTTCTTCCCTATGTGCCCTCCCACCCCTTGAGACCTGAGGATCTGAGGAGGAGGTCCTTCTTTGGGAGCCCTCCTTGAAAGAGACCAGGAAGGTGGCTACCCGGAGGAGGGCCTTCTCTGCAGTGGCACCCCGACTGTGGAATACGCTCCCCAGAGAGGTTTGCCTGGTGCCAGTGCCAAGTGAAAAGCCATTATTTCCCCATTATTTTAATGGTTAATTGGTCTTAATTGTGGTTTTTATATTTATCACTGGATGCTGTACCATTTTTATCTTATTTTATTTGTGCTTGTTGTGAACTGTCCCGAGATGCCGGTAATGGAATGGTTTATAAAAGCTTTAAATAAATGGATGGATGGATTCTGCTGGAAGCAGCAGTCCTGGAAACAAGTGCCATCCCTAAACATGAAAGCGCCCATCCCTCGCTCCTTGGACGAGTGGGCGGGTGGGTTCTTGTCATCTGGTCCAGAGCACCATTGCATGCTTTGCTGAATTGGATGTCTTTCTTTATATCCTAGAAAGAGGATGAACACCTGCATAATTTTTGCAGATTGCTGGGAGTGGAGCACAGCCAGATGGAGCACTGGCTCTCCCACCGGAAACTGGTCACCGCCGCGGAGACCTTCGTCAAAACAATGTCCCACTCACAGGTGGTGAACGCCAGAAATGCACTGGCCAAGCACATTTATGCCCAGCTGTTCAACTGGATCGTGCAACACATCAACAAGGCCCTGCACACGACGGTCAAGCAGCATTCTTTCATCGGGGTGCTGGATATTTATGGGTAGGTGGTTTTTTATTGCTCTGACATCTTCTAAGCTCTTGCTTTTGCTTGCCAGGATGATTCCAGTCAAATGCTGCAGATCACTTATTTTGCAATGCACAGTGGTGTTGGAGTCTCACTAGCGAGCGCTGTGTTAGGTTACCTTCTGTTTGAGGAATGTAATGCTACCAGTTAGCATTTACATGGCATGGCAAGGTGAGTTTCTCAAATGCAGGTGCGAGAGACTTTTTATGATGAATGAGCCAATGGTTTGCTAAATGAACCAGAATGAGATGGTTGTGCTGTGGCCACAGTGTATTATTAACATCTTGCTGATCATGGCAGCATCCAGCAATGAGAGATACACTGCCTCTAATCATGGAGGATCTGTTTGGCTAATGTCTACTCATGTACCTGTATTCCAGGTATGTGTCTACTCCTTTTTATTTTAAAAAATAACATCTAAGCTGACAGCCACTGCCACCTCTTCTTGTCATTAGTTCTGTATGTTATACTTATTTGATATGATTATATCTCACTTTTCCTCCAAGGAGCCCTTCCTTCTCCTTTCCAGTTTATCCACACAACAGCCCTGTGATGTAGGTTAGGTGTGTGACAAACTTGGCCTGGCCTAGGGTTTTTATGATAAGGGGTTTCTGTATTTAGCTGGAACATGCATCACCAGTAATGTATCACTAGCTATTTCCCAAAGTAGTGTTGTTGTTAGTCGCAAAGTCGTGCCCGACCCATTGTGACCCCATGGACAACATTCCTCCAGGCTCTCCTGTCCGCCACCATCCCCCGGAGTCCACCCAGGCCCACACCTACTGCCACAGTGACCCCATCCAGCCACCTCGTCCTCTGCCGCCCCCTTCTCTTTTGCCCTCAATCGTTCCCAGCATCAGGGTCTTCTCCAGGGAGTCCTTCCTTCTCATTAGGTGGCCAAAGTAGTTGAGTTTCATCTTCAGCATCTGGCCTTTTAAAGAGCAGTCAGGGTTGATTTCCTTTAAGATTGACTTTAATATATTATTCCCAAAGCATAGTATAAGTTTATAAAATTCCTGATGTTAACACACACAGTGGGTTTAAATAGCAGACTCTGAGTGGGAAGCACCTGTCTTTCAGTCCACCATTCATAATCCTCCCTACCAGCACGATTCACCAACACAACTTTCTCACCTTAACAAAAAGTCTACTTTAACCCTTTGTTGTGGGGAGGAGAGGTGCTGTGTGCCTTGATGACTGATACACAAGAGGTATACAGATTGCAGACAGATATTTTAAAAGACAGCCTGTTGAAGTTTTCTTCATGCCAGAGAGAGTGTTCCCTCTACGACGGATGGAGGTTTGACAGGCCAAAAGCTGTTTGTGACAAAGAAGAAAAAGAGAGAGGTATACAACCAATGGGATGAAGTGCCTGCCACTCAAAGGGGCCTAAGCTGAGATTGGGATGTGAATTTGAGTATAATACCCATGAAAGATTAAGTTAGACACGAGAATATCTACTGCGGTGAAACTTTTCTCCCTTCACCCACTGAATGGCACTTATGCTGATTTGTCAGAGAAGCGGTTGGGGGACAGGGAGCCATCCCTGCCCTAAAAATAAAATGCAGAACTGGGCTAAAGTGGCATCCTTTAATTGATCAAAGGGATGCTTCAGTGCAAGGAGCTTTGCCAGCAGAGATGTCAACGAATGATCTCTTTAGCAAAAGAGCATTATCTATTAGGAACACTGGTAGAAATTAGCTGCCACCTCCCTGTCCTAGGGGATGGACGCCAAGTCACATTTCGTAAAGGCAGCAGAACCCCCGCCCCCCCCCGTCTCCCCGTCTCCCCAAATAGTGGACTGCTGGGCCCCAGATGGCTACCCTGGGGCCATAAAGGTTAAAAACTGGTGCATTGCAGAAAGGTTTGCTGTGAAAGGCTCCCATTGTTACAGAGAAAGCATCAAGAGGAAGACCTCTGAGGGATTTGAGTTTTTCCTTCCACAGTTCTGGATCTTTTTCAAGGAAAGTAGGGGCTGGAGGCAGGCAGATTATTGTCTGTGAAGCACGTAGAGAGATACAAAGTGCTAAGCAATAAAGAGAAGGAAGTTGCTGGCCTGGGCTTATATGAGATTTATTTTAATACATTCGCCATATGTAGTAATTGTAGATAAAATTATCCCACCCATAGAAGGTACTTTGGCACTTGAGGCAGAAAATCCACATGATATGCCACTTCATGATTCTCATAAGCAATAATAAAATCATCCCCATCCCAAACATTGGCATTACTCCTTAATGTCATATGTCAACAAACCACACTGAGCTGGTTCAGACAACCTAATAACCCAGACTGTCAAGGGATTGAGAGTGGCTTGTCACTGAACTGTGGGTTTGTTGTTGAAACATGATCATCACATTGTCCAAACCCAGCTGAGATTGCAAACCAAGGCAGGCCATTCCCAACCCCCAACAACAAACCATGGGTTCTTTTAATGGGTTGTTCACGGTTAACAGGATCTGGTTTACCATGTCATGCAAACCTGCTGTGGTTTTGCAAGGGAGGCTTAATCCACAGTGGGTTGTTAGTCATACAAACTTAGGGACACAAAAGCACCCACCCTCCAGAAATGCCAGTCATCCTGCAGAAAAGGGTATGTTGGGAACAGCCCCTCAATTTCATCCCCTTCCTAGCAGGATCCCCAGCTTGTTTGGGGGTTGCTCATCTATCCCAAGGGTCTCTTCAGTTTTGCAAGTGACCTCAAGTCAGTCGTGCAGAGAGCTGGCCCGTCCTTTGCTCACTGCAGACCGTTTAGAGAGAGTTGTCCTATTGTGAGGAGAAGGAAGAAGAGCGAGAGGGGTGGAGGATTTTGAAGCCTGAGATTCTGAGTCTGAGAACTGGCCTGCTTTGGTAGGGGCAGGAAGGTTTCCAGGAGGTGAGGGAGCAGCTGCGAAATGAAGCCCTTGACCTCGTAAGGAGGTGATGGGAGAACCAAGCAGCCCAGTTAGAGGGTCTTTGCTGTCCCTGCCATCTTGCCCTTAGACAGCAAGCCCCCCCCCCCCCCCAGCCTTGGTGCAGCCAGAAGCTTCACTGAAAGGGAGGGACAGAGGGAAAGCTTCCCGTTTGGGTTCAACTCTTTGCATGGGCAGAGGCTTCTCCCTGAACCCTGACAGAGCACAATTTAGAGTTCATGCTGTTCCGTTAATTTTTGATAAAAGAACTTGACTTCAAAAGACCGGAAACCAGAAGGAGAATATAACAGCCTTTCAGGTACTTGTAGAGTGCTGTCCTCTCTCCTCTCATTCTTCTTAAGGCTGAACACGTCCAGTTCTTTCCAGCTGTCATCATAGGGCTTTCCAGTCTCCAGTCCCTGGATCATCCTTGCTGCTCTCCCATGAGCCCTTTCCAGACATCTTTCTTAAACTGTGGTGCCCATAACGCTTTACGTAGGGCTTCCCCTGAAGACGGTCCGAACACTTCAATTGGTGCAAAATAGAACTGCCAGGTTGCTGACGGGGACGGGGCGTTACGCTCACATGACTCCAGTCCTCCGTCAGCTTCACTGGCTTCCCATTGAAGCCTGGGCCCAATTCAAGGTGTTGATTATGACCTATAAAGCCCTAAACTGCTTGGGTCCTGGCTACCTGAACGAGCGCTTACGTCCATATATGCCCGCCCGCCCCTTGAGATCTGCGGGAGAGTCCCTTCTCCGGGAACCCTCCATGAAAGAAATTAGGAGAGTAAGTACTCAGAGGAGGGCTTTCTCTGCAGTGGCACCCAACCTATGGAATTCACTCCCCAAAGAGGTCCGCCTGGCACCGTCGTTACTGGTTTTTCGGCGCCAGGTAAAGACCTTTTTATTTAAACATCATTTTAATTGTTAAAATATATGATCTGGCCAGGGCAACTTTCTTCTTCCTTCTCTTTTCTCCTCCTATATTATTTATTTACTTATTTTATACTGATAATTTTAATTTTATATTATTATGTTCGTAACTCAGTGTATTTTTTGTATTTTTGTATTTAATGGTAATTTATTATGTTCTATTGTATTTCAATGTATTTTATTGTGTTGTAAGCCGCCCTGAGGCTTCGGCAAGGGGCGGCATAGTAATGTAATAACAACAACAACAACAACAACAACAACAACAACTGGACACAGTGCTCCAGATGAGGCCTCACCAGTACTGCAGCAATAATTATCTGTCACACAGTCATGTTTCTTAGAATCATAGAACAATAGAGTTGGGGGAGGCCAGAAGGCCATCAGGTCCAGCCCCTGCTGTTGCAGGACACCAAGTCACACCATCCCACTCAGATGGAAGTCCAGTTTCCTCTTGAATGACTCTAGTGTGGGAGAGCCTGGCACCTCTCCAGGCAGCTGGTTCCACTGTCATATTGCTCTGACAGTAGGGAAGCTTTTCCTGATGTCCAGCCTGAATCTGGGTTGCTGAATGATGTTCCAGGAGGGTCCCATGCACATGGTAGGCATGTCATGAGCAGAGCTGGCTAGAGCCAGGGGTCAGACTAGATGGCCCAGGAAGCCTCTTCTAACTCGCTCTCTTTCTATGTTTCTGTATCCCCCACAACATGGAGAAAATCAAGCATAGTCAGAATTCCAAAACCAGTTAAGGATCCTGCTCTGATCAACTCTTATAGATCAATTCCATGATTAAGCGTAGGCCATACAATGTTTACATCAGTACTGATAAACTGTATGAAAATTTTGATAACAAAATATTTACACCTTGCCCAGACAGGCCTTATCTGTAATCAGCATATAACAGATCCCATTAAGAGATTACTAAATATAATTGGCTTCAACAAATAAAAGAATCTCACCACTGGCTGTTTTTGTATATTTATTATTTATTTATTTAGGAGACTTCTATGCCACCCCATTCGCCGAAGCCTCGGGGTGGCTCACATCCATAAATAAACTTCCATAGAATAATATAAATTAACAGTATAAATTAAGTCGCCCTGGCCAAAGAATAAAATGAATAAATACTATTAACAATTAAAATGACATTTGA